TTGGATACATAATTAGATGTTTTGTCTCTTCATTTGCACAGAAGGATTTTCCTGTTGGAATCTGAAAAAAACACCCCATTTATGCATGTATTTTAAGAAACAAAATTGAAATGAGCTCACAGAGGCTGTGGAATCTCCATCCTTGGAGATACCCAAACCTTGGCTGGGTATGGCTTTAACCAACCTGCTCTGAGTGGTCCTGCTGCGAGCAGGAGCATGGAGTAGAGACCTTGCGAAGCATCTACCAACCTATGAAATTCTGTGATTATAATGGTATGGCAATAAACAATACATGCAGTGAGGATAAGGGCAAGATGACAAAATAAGCTGGTGTCTGAAACCCAACTTCCATATTCTTCCAATAAGTACAAGCTGTTGCGTAATGTCAGTTTGCAGAAAGATGAGCACCTTCATAGCTCCTGGTATCTGGAAAGGTGTCTTATCAACCTTGTACCACCAGTCAGAATAAACATTATTATCCTTGGGAAAATTAGGGCACCAGGTCAACTAAGGCAAATTAAATGGCAGCGTTAGAGGCAGATATTCTGATCCTGAGCTTGTATGTTCCTACTTCACATCCACCTCCAGGCCTTCCCACCACCCACTGAATTAACTATATATGTTTGCAGGCTCTGAAACAGCGGCCTCCCTGTGAGCTCTGCTACTTGATCCATTTGCAGGATGTGTCAAGAACGGTCTTTGGAGGAGAAGATGAAACTCTTGACACTCAGGTGAGATTCATCCTGCCTAAACTGAGAATTTTACAGTGTTGATACCTACACCTGAGGCACTTCCCCCAAAATCCCTTCCCAGTTAATGGGAAACTCAAACTTCCAGGACCCAGTCAAAAGGGAGTTGAGATAAACTGGCTCAGACGACCTGGAATCAGGTCAAAGCTACCCCAGCTGAAATCCTTATGTTATAAAATACTACAGCTACCTGCCTTTAAAAAAGGAAAGTACTCTAAGTGAGTGAAATAAAAAGAAAGTGAAGAATTAATTAACTAAATAGAGGTGATTAAAGTAAATAAAGGAAACAATTATCATATCAAAATAAAAGACAAGAAAGATGATTAAATGAGTCTTCAAAAGACCTGTGAGAAACTCATGAAAGACATAATATGCATTTACCTGGGTTTTATTCTTTCATGATTTCATTTTCATTTTTATTCACTACCATCTGATAATTGCAAGAAACAGTTACTTTAACCATGGGCAATTTAAACCATTTTAATTTTTTTTTTTCTAGGGCCAAGAGACAAAAGAACCTATTTATTGCCTGAGGGGATTTTTACTAAAATGAAAGCTTAATCTTTCATGGGTTTTTTTTAAGCAAAGGCTTTTAAAAAATCATTTCTAACAATGCTGTAGGGAGAGACTCCATGGGTATGCAAAATTGAAATTATAAATTTACAATTATAAAAAAATTAATAGTTTGGGGGATTGCATTGTCTCTGTTCTTTCTGAATGAATATTGTCTCAAGCCTAAGAGAAATGAGACAGAATGAGTGTCCTTAGACTCTTTTGCGGGTCAAAGCTATTTAGTAAGAATGTATGAGAGAAAGATCATTGGAGTTTAATTTGTTTGGAAATAAGTAATTGTATGAACCTTGAAGAAAGACTTTCATACAGATTGAACAGTCACTATTAGATGCTGGATATTTTTCTCTTCTTTTTTAATATACTGCAATTAGAAGTCAGCAGTAAAACGTGACATCCTCAAGAATCAGATGTCCTGCTGGTTCCTCACTTCCTGACCTGTTTTTCTGCATTGTCCATGTACCAAAGTTGCACTGACCACCAACCCCTCTGTAACAGTTTGATGCATTGAAGGTTGCTAAGTCTTGTCTGTGTCAGATGAAGCTGCAAGATTAATTTTAATGAAAGCAATCACCTTTTGGGGCTCTTATGACACATGTCTACAAAGGACAGAGTAAGAGCTCTTGGTTAAAGACTGATTTAGGAGAGATACAGTTACATATTGGTAGAAAGATGGGTATGATTTATGTGGCTGTTGCGGTTTAAGGCATATTAGAACAACATGCTTATGCCCATCCCTCTTCCATGCAGTATTTTGGCTTTAACAGCATCAAGAAAAGGATTAAATTTAAGCCTGTACCTTTTGCACTCTCATAAATTTGGGCAGTTTTCTGAACCGAGAAATATTAATTTAATGCATTATCTGGAGAGACGCAAACATTTCTTCCTGGGCTTCGTGCAGGCTTTGAAAACAGACAAAATAATTTACACTTATGAAACACAACAAGCTGAAGTGTTCTATTAAAAGAAATCTAGACCAAAAAAATACCCTGAAGGCCTCCAAACATTCACACACTGAAAGGCAGATTTAAATGTTTTCTGACAACATATTTCAAGTTTTAATGGAAACACTTTGAGCTACTATGAAAAGTTTTATCGAAGTAAATTCATTTTCCATAGAGCAGAGAAGAATCACTGAAGATATTATTCAGGTTTACAAAATATTTAATAGGGTGGAGAATGTGGAACCAGATAAGAAAGGTTAAACTGAAGGACATTTTTAACAAGGCTTGATTTTAGGTTTGCTGTGCAAAATATATAGGTCAATGGACCTATTAAGAGATAGAATTCCTCTTTGACACAAGCTGTCTAATATTAGAAACACTTGTGTACAGCTACTATCTGTGAGAGTTTCAGAAGCAATCATGGTCCTGAATACAGTATTTCAAAGGCTAAAAATCCAGATTTTTCTTAAAAATAACACATCTTCAATATGTTAGCCAAAATAATTAATGTCTGTGGAAACACGTTGGTATCTGCTCTAGAATGCAACCCTGAGCAATACTAAGCTTTACTTCAGCTAAAGAATATCTGTCCAGCCAGCTGAAGCACCTTTCTAACCACGTGTGTCTGCAGAGTTGGACATTAGATGAAACGATCTCTGAGGTACTCAAGAGCCCTGAGACCCAGTTAAAAGAGGGAACAGCAAGTCAGCCAGACTGGATAAAAAGACTTGAGTTGAAGAGGGAGGGAGGAAAATGTGGGCCTTGAGGATGAACCTGAATCTTGTGCTAACATGGCAAGGCAAAGTGCACGACAGAAACATGCTGCTGCCTGAGGTTCTGATGCCACTCTGCTGCAGAGCAGCAATGATGAAGAAAGTTCACTTCCAGCCTCTGCACTGCAGTGCAGTGTGGTGAGTTGCCCTGAAAAGTCTTGTCAGTATGGCTTAAGAAATGTGGAGGATGCTTTGGGAGGACAGGCTACTCGGACATTTAACAGCTAAACTGCAGAGATATTACAGAACATGCATGAAATGCAACATTCCCACTTACTTATATGAATGACATTTGGACAGGAGTACTGCAGGAGCACTGACACTGAGATCAGCCTTTGCAAAGTGTTGAGCCCCAGCTTCAGGATGTAGGGAAGATACTGCTTGGGTTTAAATAAAACATATACTAGCAAACCAAAACTATTTGCACACAATCTTCTTCTCAGAGATGTTGCAAATGAATATTATTTGTAGGTTGAGATGAGGCTCTGCATAAACTTAGTATTAGCCAAGCTGCCTTCCATCTAACCTCTCCCCCAAACCAACAATAACACTGTAATATAATGGGAAGTGTTGGCCAGCTTTAACACCCAGCACCACACTCGGTCCCAGTTCTATTGTGCAGTGAAGCCTGTTTTCCTTACTGATGAGCTCAAACCATCTGACATGAATTCCTTTCTCATGGGGAATAAATACACACTTAAACAAGATTAAACACAAATGTTCTTTAGTGGTGTCTAAAATAATATGAATGTTTTTTAGAACAGCAATAAACACACTTCATGATGCAAATAATTACACCCTGCAGCCTTTATGTAAAGATAAGTGGCCAGATTCTTCACTCAGCTACATCTCTGTAAACCCAGGGTAACTACTCTGAAACAGCATCTCTCTCTGGATTCTGGAGATGCTGAGGCATTACTGAACTCTTATTTGCCTTATTTCTCTTAAGGGCTTTTGGACATGTTGTGCTGAAAGTCTACATGGTAGTCATGGAGGCACCACCACCTCTTAGCCTGTCCTTTTTTCCCACATAAATCTGTCTTTTGCTTCGTGTAATGAGGACAGAATCTGGCTGTGCCTTTGATGTCACTTCTGTAACAGTATTCTCAGTTAGGACCAGAAGAAAGCTCAAGTGAGGGTACAGCAAGAAAAAGAGAAGGAAAAAAAGAGAAGACTTCACAAAAATTCATGATGAGTGAAGGCAATACATGCATGATGTGCTGGGAATCAAAGATCAGTCAGTCTCTCAGGGATTAAGTAATACTACCTCAGCTGATTTTTCCATAGGATGAGAAGAATTTGCTCATGTTCTGAATTCTTTCTGAAAAGTCAATTTCAGCTAAAGTTTCCCATGCAATTATAATTTCCACATGGAGTTTTGTAAGATGGTGTTGTGGTTCAAGCATGGCTGGTAACTCAGAACCACACAGCCACTCCCCCACTCCCCCCATTCTATACTGGGTACGACGTGCTGTGGTATGGAATACCCCTTTGGCTAGTTTGGGTCAGGTGTTGTGTCTCTGCTTCCTTCCAGCTTCTTGTGCCTCTCCTCACTGCAGAGCATGAGACTGAAAAGTCCTTGACTGGGGTAAGAAACACTGAGCCACAACTAAAACATGCATGTGCTATCAGCACTGTTCTCAGACTAAAGCTGAAACACAGCACTGCACCAGCTACCAAGAAGGAGAAGAACAACTGTTAAAACTGAACCCAGGACACATGGGTCCATTAGGCTTTAATGGCCCCTGAAATGAGTCTGGAAAGGTGAACATGTCCACACTGGACTACTTGAAAAACTGGTTATTTGCTTAAAATAACAGCAATAAATATATTCGCCTATTAAAAGGGTCTTCAGAATTCATATGCATACAAAACGTAAGCCACGACACGGAGCCACTGCTTTAACTATCCTGTTCCCATTTATTCTCATGTTGGTAATTTGAAAGCAAGCACTCTGCTCTTACCGGGACTTGTGAGGGCTCCCAGAGCACCGGTCGTTGTGGACAGAGGATTTGCATTGGTGGTGGTAGCTGAGGTTTGGGCGGCGGCTGCTGCGGCTGCTAAAGTTGCCAAATTCTGTAATTGTAAAGCGTTCATGCCTGTGTAAAGAAGCAATAGGGTTAATTAAAATATGTGATAATAATCCTAATTAAAAAAGCTGTTTTCAACGGCCACGGAACTTGGGATGTACCTTGCCAAGAGTCAATTCTTCTTTTCACTCCCAAGACATCTATAATCTGGGAAGCAACTCTTACAGCCCCCAAATAGCATCTCTCACCTCTCTACTTTGGCGTTGAGAGAATACAGCAAAGGCACCAGCCTATAGTTCAGGAAAATTAAACCTAGTTTGTGCCTCCTTTATAACGGAAGTGTGGAATTAAAAGTCATTTAAACTCTGTGTGAAGCCCAGGCACAATACCATTTCCTGGCACAACAGGGGGTGTAAAGAAGATAACTAACATTTAAAACACATTTAGGACAGGGTCATATAATTGGGATGAATACAATTTGTTTCCTGTATCTCCTCTGAATGTATCTACTAAGGCTACACTTAGTGCAGTAACCAATAATTGTGCTAATATTCCTTTTGATGGCTCATTTCTAAACCCACATATGAATTAAGAACATAAAATTAGTATGAGTCTGATCACGAAGCTATCATTGAGGTAGAGGCTTTCAGGCCGTAAACTCTAGACTGTGATATTAAGTCTACTCAGTCATCAGCCATTTCATTATTTTAGAGGATGTGGGGGAGATATACCTGCATTTCAATAAGGAATGGATGCATTTATATAGCAAAGGCTTTAAGTTAGATAGTAAGTTAAAAAAGACAAACAATAATAGAATTTCTGTGATACGGGAAAAAAAAAGGATGATTCAAGAACACGAAATGGCATTCATTTTACTTAAATTAGAGGGATAGGAGTATGATTCTCCAGAGGTCTTCAAAACTACCCACCTTTTACCGTGGACTAGACAAATTACTTAGGCACTTACTCTGAGGCAAACTGCTATAGTAAGACTAAAATGCAGATACAAGTTAGATGCTAGCGTTAACCAGCCTAGATCCTTCTCAGGATCCTCTGAATGCGATGCAACTGTCCACAGGGGCAATGTTCAGCCTGAGTGTCTGCATACAAACATGAGACAGGTTGTTTGATGGCAGTGAGAGATCATCCTTTTTGGCTTGGACACATGAAGTAGATCTGTGCATGGTGCTAGAGCCCTCAACAGAATTGACAATGTGAATAAAAGCAAATCACTGAAAAAGGTTTGTTGTGTTCTTGTAGTCATGATAATGTAAGCACACACAAAAGGCTGGGTGGCAGGAAGAGCAATCCTGTTTTCAGATCAAGGGATAGAGTTAGAAAGACTGCATGAGCTTTGGGGTACACCCAAAGAGCTTGAAGGCCTATAAACTTGTCAGTTTTATACTGAATGCTAGTTTGTGTAACAAAAGATACCACTTCTCCCAGCACACTTTGTTTCTCAAACCAGGAGAACTTAATGACAACTTGGGAGAAGATGAAAAAAAGGATAAATATAATAGTTCGTAAGTATGTTGAGAAGAAGAAAAATGCAAGGAAGGAGAGGTATTTTCTAGGTATTAAGAACTCCTGCAACAATGGAGAGTGGTATTACTTTAAAACACACATATTGCAGACTCAGGTTGGTTTAGTCAATGAGCCCCACAAAGAAGTATTCTTATTGCCCCAGCATTAAAACTTTAAAGTGAACCTTAATATAAGCAGCTATTTGTGAATAAACTCCCAAATTTAAATACATGCTCCATGCTACTTGTATGTTCCAACAGGCAGGTCAGATCTTAGGTTAGCACCCAGCTTGGCTGAGGTTCTAACTTCTCTGCCTCAAATATCCAAAGTCAGCTCAGATGCTGGTGCTTTTGAAAATGTGACACAAGGACAATGTATGAGCAAGGTTTTAGTTGGTCCAAGATCCACCATTTAACAGTCTGAAATCTGGCACAAAACACTTGGTCAAATTACATGACTAAAAAAGCTCTTCCAGGTTTCTTTCAGAAGCTAATGACCATCTTGAAAAATAAAGCTTTTCTCAAACACAACCAACCCAAACTATTTTGCAAGATGCACTAAAGCTACCCTAGTCCCACGTCATTATTAAGCTAGACAATGAGGTGTAGCTACTAAATAAAGTGATCATGGGTCATTGTTGCAATTCGGTCTTCTAAACCAGCTCTCATGACGTTTAAGTGCTTTAAAATACAAAGATAACTCTGAAATGGCAAAACTGCACCTCAATTAGACACATAGTTAATAAATACTTAAAAAATAGATACTGGATGCCCAAATAAATAGAATAAAACTGCTTAAAACATCTCAAGTCTTGAACTCTAGAACAAAGTCATCTTTAAAGCAGGAAAAGTTGATTATTTTAAAAACATTTTATTTTTATTATCAGCCAGTTTGAAATTAAATTTTGGAAGCAGCATCATATTAATACATAAATTTCTGAAACCAGCAATAGTAAAGAAATTTGGAAGAGTTTTCAAACCCTATACCTGGCTTAACTTGAGAACTTTTCATTCAAGTACAATTCAGATAGAAATTGAGACATGCAAGCATAATTTAAATTTATTTTTATTTAATTACTCATCTGACCTACTGGCTTGCCTTGGGTGTAAATTATTTTCTTTAATTGAAAAATCCTTTCCTTGATAGCAAAATTCTGCAAATTACTTCAAACCAGACTTTAGGGATGGAGAAGACTGAAGCTGGGGTCTACCTCTCAGCAAAGACAATGGTTCTCACAATGAGACACAGAATCCATTTTCATCCTGGATTGATATTTGGTCCTCAAATATAATTTATCTTCCTCTTTTGTAAGAAGTAATGTCGAGCAAAAAATGTTCAACAAACACTGCTGGTCTTTACTGAGGTCATTATTTCATGCCATTCTGTAAGAGATTTGGGAAAGCAGTGGGATGCTCTCCAACAGGACAGCATGGTTTTCTATCACCCACTGGTTAGCTATTCAGAAGAAGGATCAGTTATAATCAGCTTATACTTCTTCTGTGGGGAGGTTTCCACTTTGGACTTTTAAACAGCACACATGGCAGGATTAAATAATAGCAAAAGGACAGGGTGGTACTAGAGGAGAGGCTGCAAATAGTTTCACCTAGGTGAAGTGCCACATGCTTCTGGAAAACACATGGACTTTTCTTCAAACCTTAGTTTAGACACAATTAAAAGCAATTTAATGCTGCTCTTTCTATTGCATTTTATGTGCATGGCTTTGCCCATGCATGCAAGGCTGCAGAGGGTAATAAGCACAGACGGCTGTGGAGATGGGAGGCAGCATATAGCACTGTACAGCCCTCAATGAGAAATACTGCAGGCAAGAGAAAGTCAACAGGCAGGGGAACAAATATCTGCTCTCTGGGGGCTCAGAAACCTCCACGGCGCCTGTGTGGATGCAAAACAAACACCAGCACTGCCTCATCCCTCAAAAACATTTTTATAGTCAGACATTTCCTGTGGAAGCACAAGAAGAACCCATCAACTTGACGAAAGATTTTCATTGCCAAAAGAGGATTAACAAAGAAGAGCTAGGCAGTGACGAAGTTCTCTCCCCACCCAGTCTGTTTTACTGCAGAGGTGACTAAAAGACATTGGCCACAAACCAGCTCTGCAGATGTTACAGGGTGTCAGCTTTGATGCCTTTGGTAAAAGACTGCTTGCTGTTGTCACACATGCATAAGAGAAGGGCAGAAAAAAGCCTGGCTGAATAGAGCACCCAAATGTGATTGTCAGAAAGGACTCACGGCACATGCCATCATGCAGCATGCTCTGATTGTGCCAACAGGTTTATCAGTTAATATGCATTGGTGGTGAGGCACTGGAACAGATTGCCCAAAGAAGGAGTAAATGCTCCATCCTTGACAGTGTACAAGGCCAGGCTGGATAGAGCCTTAGGTGACATGGTTAGTGCGAGGGGTCCCTGCTCATGGCACGAGGCTGGAACTGGATGATCTTAAGGTCCTTTACAAGCCAAGCCATTCTATGATTCTGTGAACCTCTTTAGGATCTTTTGTGCGCTCAAACATAAAAAGTAAGTCCTGTCATCACTGTTCCATGTTCCCCAGCCATTTTATCATCTCTGCTCCTTCTTTCTGGGTTTCTCCCACCAACTTGTCACCAACGCGCGTCAACATCTCACTTGCTAGGACAAACTTGGAGGAGGGAAACCAAATGCTGTCAGTCCTAGACCCAAAATGTACTTTGCTTTCAAATGGGGTTTTTTAGTTCATTTGAACTTCAGCTAAGGGACAGTTTGTGGGACTAATCTGTCATTCCCCCCCCCCCCTCCCTTCACACCCACTGTCTTCACACATTTCACATCCTACGGCTTTTTTAAACCCAGCCCTAAATCCCACAACAGAGCTGGGCAGCAAATGGCTAGATTGTTTTTATTTGAAAGTGCTGCTCACTCAGCAAAGGCACCTCTCTCAGAAGAAATGCAAATTGCTTAACGCTGAAGAACAGCCTCATAGGCAAAACTGCACATGAAAAATGAAAATCCCCCTGTAGAGGAAAAGAAAACTTCTGGGTAAGGAATAACTCTTGATCTTCATGATGGGGACAATGTTGGGAATTAAAGGGAAATGATTAAAACACCCCAGCATCACAATACAGTTTGATTCCATTTTTAATAACATGTATTTACCAATGTGCTATCAGCTTGGCAAATATTCAAGATTGCAAGGAAATTCAACTTTTGTTCTGTTATTTGGCAGATTAAAAAAACAATTAAATTATGTACAAAACAGATGCACAGTGTGCCTTGCTTGAAACTTAAGATTTTTTAAAAAATTATTTATAAGGACAGGGGCATGAAAATTTAATTTAATGTTCACCTTAGGTAATTTTGTGTCTTATTGTTCACAGCAATTACCATAAATCTACATATCAATAAGCGAGAACAGATGTCAGTTGTTACAAGTGCTTGCCAATCAGGCCTGTTAAAAAGTGACAGATGGATGGTGATAGAACATTCTCATAAGGCCTATTAGCACATTCACAGGAAATTTTTGTAGTGCTGCACAGTCACAGATGCAGTT